ATTGCCGCGTGACCATCCCCCCTGGGGGGTGATTTCTCGCTTTCTGTCTCTCTGTCTCTCTCTGTCTGTCTGGCAAGTGCACGTGCCCTATAGCAAAAACCTCTCCAAAAAAAAAAAAAAAAAGAGTTAAGGACTTGTGAAGGGATCAGGTTATGAGGGCAGAGTCCTCACCAATGGGATCAATGTCCTTATAAAAGAGATTCCCCAATTCTTCCCCATTTCTACCAAATAAGGTTATAATGAGAAGACAGCTGGCTGTGAGGTAGTAGGCTCTCACTAGATCTTTGACTTGGACTTGCCAGCCTCCAAAATCATGAGAAATACATTTCTGTTATTTATAAACAACCTAGTTTATGATATTTTGTCATAGCAGCCCAAATAAACCAACATGGAAACACATAAAAACACATATGCTTTAAATAAATAGAACACATTTGAAAATAGTCCTAAGTAGTCTGCTAACTTTTAAAATTATATCTGTCAAACTTGATGAATTGTTGATAAAGGATTAAAATAACTTTCACCACTTTAAGAATTGGCTATAGTATTTTTTAGAGAGTGTTTTTCCTAGTGGGTACATGTGCTCACCAGAGAGACAGAAGCAAGAAATCACCCCCCCAGGGTGTTGGCCCTGCTGCAATCCCTTTTCCTCCATTCTCCTTTTGAGATATAGGGCATGTACGCACATGCATCCTATGTGAGTTTTAAGCATCTGGGCTTGGGACTTGAACCACGGTCTACTATGTGGGAATCCAGCAACATAACCGTTATGCCATCTTCTGGTCCCTGAATTTGCTACAATTAGTTTTGATTTTGAGGTTCCTAAAGAAAAAGATACAGGTGGGTGACCATCAAATCTCAATTTCCACTAAAAATTTCTCCTACTTCCATTAAACTAAGCACTCACAGGAAATACTAGGTTGTTGGAAAAGTCATGACATGTTTTTCTATTAAAAAATGCATCATGAATTGCCCAACGACCCAATATACAATGTCCTTTCAGGAAACAGATGGAAAAATTGTAAGTATAACTTAACTTTTCACAAGGAAATATCCATTTTGACTTCATATGGTATGATTTCTTCCTTTAAACCATTACAAACTTCTGATTTCTACATTTTCTAGCTCTTTCATTTCAAACAAATTAGAATAGAAAAATAATGAAATGTTCCTATGTTCATATTCAGATTTATTCAATTCACATAAAGTAGTGCTTCCAAAATGTTGATATTTTCCTGATTGACATGGAAAAAATATTTTTAAAAAGTTGTGAAAATATAGATTTAAGTTTTCATTTCAGTTAAGGAACTTCTGAAAATCTTCCCTTTATGAGATTGTTAGATTGTATAATATGAATTCACTTAAAAGGATACCTGAGAAAAAGATTTATTAAATGAAAGATGGCACAAGATTTTAAATACAAAAGTTTGAGTCAAATAAGCCTCTCTTTCTGCTCTGCTGGATTCTTTGAGACAATTAAAGTGTGCTCTGGCCCTTGAAACTGAGCAAGTAGAAGGAAATTCACGTCAAAAACATGCATCCAGCTGGCATTTTCTTTGAATAACATAGTAATATAAATAGGCATGGCTATTATTTTCCTGTTCGTAGTTTAAAAACGGTATTTTGAAATTGAATGCAAAACAATAAGGAGTCTGTTAATTATATTAGACATGAATCTCTGTAGAGTTAAGGTTTTTGTTTGTTTGTTTGTTTGTTTTTAACTCTAAGGAACCTACTCTGTCTGGATAATATATTAAAATAAGAAATAGGAACTTTTTGAAATTTTAAATTTCTCTCTTTCATAATCTAGAGAGGGAAAGATACAGAGGGGCAGCAGTAGTCTTAATGGCACGGTCTACCTCCAGCTCCAGCCAGACCTCTTCACGGATACACACATGCAAATGTGCACGGATCATCCTCAAGGAGATATCTGGACATGAACCCAGAACCTTCCCATGTTGGTCAATCTTACACTGTTGTGTTTTATCATTGTGCCACTGTCCGGTCCCATTGATAGGATTTCTCAAAAAATTGTTTCCTCTAGCAGATGGCATAATGGTTATGTCGCTAGACTCTCATGTAGTTAAATGCAGTTCAAGCTCCAGACCTGGAGGCTTAAAACTCATACCAGGTGGGACCAGCAGTTAGCGTAATGGTTATGTCGCTGAACTCCCATGTAGTTGACCCATGTAGCCAACAGCGGTTCGGGTCCCGGACCCGGTGGCTTAAACTCACACTGGGTGCATGTGCATGCGTGCCCAAGATCCCTAGAGGAGAATGGAGGAGAAGGGGTTGCAGCATGGCCATCCCCCCTGGGGGGAGTGATTTCTCGCTTTCTATCTCTCTGTCTCTCTGGCAAGTGCATGCGCCCTATAGCAAAAATCTCTCAAAAAAAATTATTTCCCAAAGTGGAATTGTGTAACTAATTGAATAAGGAGACAAGAAAAAATGTGCTTTTATACAATAGCTATAACTGTACCAATTTGAAGGAAACCAGCACAGGCAGAAAATCCATAATAACAAAAACACTGCGTTCGTTTAATTGAATCAATTAATTTTGTTAAATGTTTAACTCAGGTTAATCATATTGTATGGATAAAGTATCAATTTTATTGATTTTATAATTTACTAATCAACTAAGTTTTATAAAGCAACTTTTTTTTTGTCTAAGTGCTTCGATAATTTAGTTGATGTTTCTGAACTGGTGGTCCTCAGTTACTGATAAATGAACCACAATTCCCTCATGATGGCAGTTATGTTGATGGATGATACACATAGAAAAGCTGCTATGTTCCGAATATTTTTAAAACAGATTTGTATT